CATTCTTTCCTTGTACAATCTTTTGCTCTCAAAAGCAAGATGTCTGAACTCGTCAAGCTCATGCAATTCAGTGATTCTTATTGTGCCCGCAGCCTCAATGTCTAGGTTCAGTTGTTTCAGTGCCCACCAAGCTTTGTGTTCAAGTTCCACTGGCAAGTGGCAAGCCTTCCCAAACACCAACTTATGTGGCGACATACCAATTGGTGTTTTAAAAGCAGTTCTATAAGCCCAGAGTGCATCATCTAGCTTTTTCGCCCAATCAGTTCTTGTGGCGTTTACAGTCTTGGTCAATACACTCTTTATCTCTCTATTATACACTTCTACCCGTCCACTTGTCTGCGGATGATACGGTGTTGCCACCCTGTGACGCACATCATACTTTTCTAGCAACTTCTCAAAAGCTCGATTACAGAAGTGGGTGCCTCCGTCACTGATTATAGCTCGTGGTGTCCCAAAACGGGTGAATATGTTCTTCTTCAAAAACCCCACCACTACTCTTGCATCATTAGTGGGAAGTGCTGCAGCTTCTACCCATTTGGACATATAGTCTACAGCCACAAGTATGTACTTATTGCCAAAGGAGCTGACGAAGGGACCCATGAAGTCAATTCCCCAAACATCAAACACTTCCACCTCTTGAATCGGGTTCATGGGCATCTCATGGCGCCGGGAAATGTTCCCGGTTCGCTGGCATTCATTGCAGCCCTTCACCCATTGGTGTGCATCTTTGAACATTGTTGGCCAAAAGGAACCGGCCTCTAGCACTTTCGCAGCTGTCCTAACTCCTCCAAAATTCCCTCCATACGCGGATGCATGGCATGCCTGCAAAACAGAAGATTGTTCTATCTCGGGGATGCACTCCGGATCATATTGTCAACACATATTCGAAACAAGTAAGGTTCATCCCAATAATACATGCGACAGTCACGATAAAACGTTTTCTTTTGTACAGAGAAAAGATCATAGGGAACTATACCACATGCCAGGTAGTTTGCAAAGTCTGCATACCATGGCACTTCCTCAAGATTGGCCGCGAGCAGTTGCTCGTCTGGAAAGGTTTCCAGAATGTCTTCAACCTCAGTTGAATTTTCAGCTCCCTCAAGTCGTGATAGATGATCAGCGACTTGATTTTCTGTGCCCTTACGGTCACGAATTTTGAGGTCGAACTCTTGGAGTAACAACACCCAACCAATTAGGCGCGGTTTCGATTCCTTCTTCTCAATTAAGTACCTGAGAGCTGCATGGTCAGTGTATACAATTACCTTAAAGCCAATCAGATATGATCTGAATTTATCGAAAGCAAACACCACCACCAATATCTCCTTCTCCGTCACAATGTAGTTCAGCTGGGCTCCACTCAACGTTCTACTTGCATAGTAGATTAGATGCATTAATTTTTCTTTTCGCTGTCCCAGCACTGCCCCCACTGCGTAGTCACTGGCATCACACATGAGTTCAAATGGGTGCTCCCAGTCGGGGGCAACAATGATTGGTGCTGTGACCAGACTTTTTTTCAGCTCCTCGAATGCTACCCTGCAATCATCAGAAAACAAGAAGGGGTGATCTTTTTCTAACAACTTACAGAGAGGGTTGGCAATTTTTGAGAAGTCTCTTATGAATCTCTGGTAGAAACCGGCATGCCCGAGGAAGCTCCTGATTGCTTTGACTGAAGTTGGAGGTGGAAGCCTTGCTATCACGTCAACTTTAGCACGATCCACCTCAATTCCTTTACTTGACACCCGGTGCCCCAAGACTATGTCCTCTTGCACCATGAAATGGCACTTCTCCTAATTAAGAACCAGGTTAGTCTCAATACATCGCTTCAGCACACGAGTCAGATTTATGAGGCACTCATCAAATGAGTTCTCCACCACTGAGAAATCATCCATGAATACCTCCATTATATCCTCTACCATATCAGTGGATATGGCCATCATGCACCTTTGGAATGTGGCGGGTGCATTGCATAGGCCAAAGGGCATCCTCCGGAAGGCATAAATGCCATATGGGCAAGTGAAGGAGGTCTTCTCTCTGTCCTCTGGTGCAATGGAGATCTGATTGTACCCTGAGTACCCATCCAGAAAACAGAAGTGTGACCTCCCTGCCAACCTGTCTAACATCTGATCAATGAAGGGAAGTGGGAAGTGGTCTTTCCGGGTGGCTAGATTTAACTTCCTGTAATCCATGCAAATTCTCCAGACCGTGATGGTTCTCGTAGAGATCAGTTCATTGTTATCATTCTTAACTACCGTCATGCCACCCTTTTTAGGTACACATTGAACCGGGCTAACCCAGCTGCTGTCGAATATTGGGAAAATGATTCTCGTATCCAACCACTTTATCACTTCTCTCTTCACCACTTCCTTCATGTTGGGGTTCAGCCTTCTTTGGTGTTCCCTGGAAGGTTTGTGGCCCTCTTCCAGCAGAATTTTGTGCATACATTAGGCGGGGCTGATCCCCTTTATGTCTGCCATGGTCCACCCAATGGCAGTCTTGCACTCCCTGAGTACCTACAAGAGTTGTTGTGCCTGCACATCTAACAAACTAGATGAGATAATAACAGGTAATGTGGAGTCAGGTTCAAGGAACTCATACCTGAGATGGGCGGGCAGTGGCTTCAGCACCAGCTTTGGTGGTTCTTCAATGGATGGTTGGCTGGAGGAGTTTCTCTATCTTCCAAGTGCAAGGGCTCAAATTCAAGAGTTCTATCCCAGAACCCTCTGCCCTCTAATGCCAACACCCATTCTGCCAGTTCTTCTCCATTCACCTCATCTAAATTCATCAAACATGCAGCAAGAGGGTCCTCAATAGTCAACATCTCATCATCAGTTTCTACGATTACATCCACGGCATCAATAAGAGAGCAATTGGCGAATTCACTTGGTCGCCTCATAGATTTCTGCACATTGAATGTTATCTCTTCGTCGTTCAATCTCATCTTGAGCTCCCCAATCTCACAATCAATGAGAGCTCTCCCAGTGGCCAAGAATGGCCTTCCCAAAATTATGGGAATCTCCTCATCCTTTTTGCAGTATAAGATCACAAAATCTGCAGGGAACACAAATTTCCCTACCTGAATCAACACATCATCCAGGATACCATAGGGTCTTTTTACAGTCCTGTCATCCAGCTGCAACATCATAGAGGTGGGTCTAGCTCTTCCAATCCCCAGCCTCTTATAAATCGCCAGGGGCATAAGATTTATGCTGGCCCCTAGATCACACAGTGCCTTAGCAAAATTACCAATAGTGTATGGAATTGTAAAGCTCCCTGGGTCAGACAGCTTTTCAGCAATTGGTCTAGTCACCACTGCACTACAGGTCTGAGTAAGAATAACTGTGGCCAAGTCTTGAAAATCGAATTTTCGGGATATTAAGTCCTTCATCATTTTTGCATACCCAGGCATCTCTTTCAAAGCATCAATCAATGGGATATTTACCTGGAATTAGATCCTTTTACAATTAGATCCTTTTAGAAATTTTTTTACTTTCTTTTGACAACTAATTAATAATTGAATTAAATATTTTTTTACCTCTTTGCTTTCAATTATATACCATGTTGGTATAACTATATACAATACTGGTATCATATGTTATTATTTTTTGATTGTATTAGCTACATTTAATTGGTACACAATTTAATTTTTCTTTAGTAATAGTATAAAAAAAAAGAATAATAAAAAATAGTGAAAACAGAAAATGGAATTAGATTATGAAGAGAAAAAGAATATAAAAAAAGAAATTAAATAAAATTAGAAAAGGAAAAAAGAAAAAAATAAGAGGAAAACGAGAAAAAAGAAAAGGAGAAAGGAAAAAAAAAGAAAAAAAAGAAAGAAAAGAAAGAAAAGAAGCATAGAAATAATAAGAATTGGAGAATAAAGAAAAAATTCTCCACAAAAACTATTATGGGTAGGAAATGTAATTTGTTTATGGGTAGAAAAACAAATGGGTAGATAAGGGTAAATAGTTTTGTTTCTGTGGGTAACTGTGCCAAAACCCCATAAAAAAAATGGTGTTGACTATATGAATCCTCCTCCATTTTATTAAACTCAATTCTTGCCATTATCATATCAAATAAAATTTATGTGATAAAGAATCCGTCCTCTAGATCCATATCCGGATTGAATGCCGAGTCTGAGCAACATAGGTCGCATATCACACAATCCGTACCAAGTAATTCATTTTTTTTGTTTTGGTTAAACTGAAAATTTTATTTAACCAAGTAATTCATGTTATTGAACATCTTCAAATCTCAATTTCCCCCCTCTTGTTGTATAGTAAAATTGAAGATGAATGCTCTTTTTTCCTTATCCTTTGGCTACTGTTTTTCTGATTTGATATTCTCAACATTTATGTCTAGTTTTGCTTCTAACATGTCCTTCCGTTTGGAGATTGGATATCTGTACTCTGATCACCTGTACAATCACTTTGTAAAATGAATATGGAAAAGGTATGTAATGTTTTTTCTTAAAATGAAAAAGGGCGGCACGGTGCACTAAGCTCCCGCTATGCGCGGGGTCCGGGGAAGGACCGGACCACAAAGGTCTATTGTACGCGGCATTACCCTACATTTCTGCAAGAAGCTGTTTTCACGGCTCGAACCCATGACCTCTTGGTCACATGACAATAACTTTTAATTTACCAATCATACTCGGCCAAATTGCATACTCACTTGTTTTTTTAAAATGGTAAATAAAATGTTTTTACTTACCAAAAAAAAGGTATGTAATGTTTTTTGAAAGATGTTGACCTGCAGAAGGTACAAGCAATTTGTAAGCGTTGAAGGAAACGTCTCCAGTCAGATATAGTTTTATAAAATCATTTTATTTCTTAATAATCATCCACAATAAGCATTTTGGTATTCTCCAAGAATTGTAAATCTGAAGCAACAAAGAATTGAACATTCAAAAAAACAAAACAAAAGAAAAGAAATACAAAGCAAAGAATTTGTGAGTTGCGATAGGACAATTTTCCATCCTTTACTCATTGATCCACATTTTTTCAAACTTCCTCCACAAAATTTGGCAAAACAAGATTTTCAATGTACAGATTAAACTGAACTCTAGAATCATCATGGATTTGAATCTCAGAATGCTTTAAAGTGTTCTGTGTTGAATTATACAGCAATAAACTTGAACAATGTTGCATTAGAATATCATCATTTTGGGAGATGAAAATGGACAAATCCCATATTCAATAGTTGCAAAATATGGGACTGAAACAACCTTAGTCCATGAACATCCATCTGGACTCTGTTACAATCACAAAATAGACATAGATTACCTCCTAAAGTCCCTAATTTCCACTTAATATTACCATCATCAACGTAGGGCGGCAAAGCTACTTCTTCATAAGTCAAATTTACGAGGTTCAATGAAATAATAAACCATGGGCCAGTATTGTCCCTATTACGAGTAGCAATCCAATGAAGTCTTCCATTTACAAATTTAGCAGGATCTCTGCGAAAGAAAATACCTGGAAATTTCTCAAGAATACTTTTCCAAGAATTAGTTCTTAAACTGTAAATACTAATATTATTTAGATGTTTAAATCCTCGGGATCCATACGCTCTACGTGACCCATCAACTTTTACAACTTTATAATCATCTTGGGACTCATTATAACCAAAACCATAAGTAGTATAATGCAAATTATTTTTTCCTGACCATGCCAATCTTTTCAACTTTCTTATAGACGGATTCCATAGATATAGTTCGACCAACAGAAAGACAGAATAACCCATCACATGACCCCTCCACCATGTGGTAATCTTTGCAAGACAAATCAAGCTCAACAGGCTGATGGAGAGATTCTTGATACATAATAGCGTAAAGCGACCAAGTGTAACACCTGGGGCTATTATTCTCAGGAGATCCGCTAAAAAGAAGCCTTAAATCCTGTTTCTTGGCTGAAAATTTTAGATTGGTTTTGATGAATTGAGGACTTGATATTAGATAAAGCCAAGATTTAGAAACACACCTCATTTTCAGCAAGGCCTTCACAGGTAAAATTAGTAGTATTTCATGTATTATCTCAAGGGGAAGAACTGGCAACAATGATTCTGAATCATTGGATAAGTTAGCAATGGATGAAGTTGCTGCTGCTTCCTCTAGGAATTCCATTGACGGTTGACTGTTGAAATGAAGAGTGAAGAACAGGTTGTATATTTTTTTTAAGAACACTAGGAGAACGTGTCTGGAAGTTTGTTTTGTGTTTTGAGTTTAGTTAACTGAAGTTTGTTGAATCATTTCATTTCTTTATAAAATAATCTTATGGGATTTTGTGAATTGGGCCTAAGTAGGTTGTTCCGTTAGTGGCTTATGTAATTAGGCTTTATATTGGGCTTAACTAGTAACTATTGTTTCATGGGATTTTTAACTTCATATACTATATATGAAACTTTATTACCCTCCCGAATCAAGTTTTAACTTAATTACATGGTCATATACAATTTACCAATTATATACAAATAAGTTTTAATGAGTATCCCTTTATATTAGAAATTGAATAAGAAATATTTCCTCATCCCTTTAGACCCCCCCCCCCCCCCCCCCCCCCNCACCTTCTCTGTTTTTTCCCCAAGTTTTCTTCCTTTGATGTTCTCTGTTTTTTTATGCTTTCTTGTCGTATAGAGTTTTAATGAAATTCATCAATGGATTTCATTCGTTTTACTATAGATTTTTAACCTAGCAATTTCCTTTCATGTTGCACAATTGATATTCGAATTAAAAATTGTCAATCAACAAATTTTAGAAGGTGTTTGNTTTGATTCTCCATCATTGACATCCATTAAAAAGCTTCAAAGCTTTGGATTCGAATTTGGGTTTTAAAAACTATTATTTATTTGTATTGGGTGTTGTTGCAAACAATTGAGAATATTCTTTGGGGTTTATATCTCAATTTTGAGGGTGTTTGTTGAAGATTAGACTTGATTTTGGCTAAATTTCAGATTAAAAATCGAAGAAGAAGAAGAAGAACACATGACAATATAATATACTTACGAAATTGTACTAAAGTTGTATTATAGTGGTATTTAAATTGTATTTAAGTTGTATTATGTTGTAGTTATATATATTTTTTAATTTCAATGTTGTATGAAAGTTGAAAAATAGTTGTATGATATATGAATCGTTATATGAAATTTGTATTTAAGTTATAAATATTATCTTTTTACATACAGTTGTTGATATATATCAAAATTGTATTAAGAGAGGAAGTTTTGATTGAAATTTCAAAGAGGAAGAAGAACACACCACATATAAAATATATACAAATCATATATAAAATACATACAAAAGATACATTGTATAGATTTGTATGAAAGTTGTGTTCAAGTTGTTGTCACGACCCAAAATCCACTAGTCGTGATGGGACCTAACTCAACCCGCTAGGTAAGCCAAAAATACTATCCAATTCCAATAATATTTAATAAGATAATTTATCAAAAGAAATTATCTGAATCTTATACATTTTCCAAGGACTGGTAGTACATGAGCTTCTAAGAATAGAATTTACAAGCTGGTACGAATAAATACATCATCTGTTTGAAAAGTACATAAACAGAGTTTATAAATCTAAGGCCACCATGAACAAGAGGCAGCTACAACAGGGATGCAAGTACACCTTCAATGCTAGCTCCCGCCATGCACAGCAACATCGGTAACCGAAATCTGCACACAATATGCAGGAAGTGTAGTATGAGTACAACCGACCCCATGTACTCAATAAGTAACAAACCTAAACTTAGGTTGAAAGCAGTGACGAGCTGGAACATAGTCGGGTCCAACACTAGTAGCCAATAACAATTCATAACAACATAGAGCATATAAATATGGAAGTAACTTAGAGATAAGATGCTCAACTTTTTTTCACAGTTTTCCGAGAAATAGTTTCGCTTTTCAAGAATATCAGTGAAAACCCAATCCTTTATCGAAATCTTCGAAAAATACGAGATAGTTTGAAAACTGGAATTTTTTCCCAAAAATCCTTCCCACAATGAATAAGATGTTTCATTTTCTTTCCAAATGGCAAGCGTGAAATACCTCTCTATGCCCACATATCAATGTGTGTAAAAGAAATCATGAACGACGTAATACCGTAAAATATGAGGAAGAATGCATCTCTATGCATGTATGTCATGTATGCATGCCAATGCCATGTATCCCAGAGATGAAACATGAACTCACACTCTCCACTCAAAATGCTCAACCACTCGGTACTGTATATGGCTCATATGGCCCAGGGAAGATCCATCCCAGAATATATATACATCTCTGATCATCAGTCACTCAGTACCGAGGAAGGCCAATTCGGCCCCATGGAGAAGATCCATCTCCAGGTATATATAAATGCTCAACCACTCGGTACTGTATATGGCACATGCATATATATATATATATATATATATATATATATATATATATATATATATATATATATATATATATATATATATATATATATATATATATATCACTGACTATCAGTTGTCAGTACCGAGGAAAGGCCAATCCAGCCCCATGGACAAGATCCATCTCCAAGTCCAGGGACGATCCATCCCTCAATATAATCAACCGCGCTCACTGGGGGTGTGTACAGACTCCGGAGGGGCTCCTTCAGCCCAAGCACTACCATAAATCAGAATATATAACCGCTGCGCGCGTGTAGCCCGATCCCATAACTGTCACTCATAATAAGGCTCTCTGCCTCACTCAGTCATCAATCTCTCCAGTCTCATGCACGGGCTCACAATGTCATGAAAACTGACCCGGAACAATGGTATGATGTATCAATAAGTAGCAACTGAGACTGAGATATGATATGAATGCATGAAAATGACTGAGTACGGAATATCAATTAAATCAATTAGATGACAGCAAGAAACGACCACTATGGGTCCCAACAATATCAGTATAAAGCCTAAACATGATATCTAGCATGATGTACAGCTCAATTACTTTATAACATGGTGAAAACGTAGATATCAACAAAGTGGGACCACTATACAATGCCATGAAGACAACGGAGTCACCATTCACAAGGTGCACGCCCACACGCCCGTCACCTAGTATGTGCGTCACCTCAACACCAATCACATAGCATATAATTCGGGGTTTCATACCCTCAGCACTAAGTTTAGAAGAGTTACTTATCTCAAACAAGCAAATTTCAAATACCGAGCAAGCCAAGCGATGCTCCAAGAATGCCATCTCACGCGTAGCGACCTCCAAACATCTCAAAACTATTCAAAAGTAGCTCAAATACAACAGATAAAGCCCAAGGAAGCAATTACAAATGATAAAAATCAAATCCTAAATCAAGTCCCAAATCCGGCCAAAAATCACATCCCGGCCCTCACCTCGGAACCTGACAAAACTCACAATATCCGACAACCCATTCAATTACGAGTCCAACCATACTAGTTTCACTCAAATCCGACTCCAAATCGTTGTTCAAAACTCAAAAATTCATATTATGAAACTTTAGGCCAAAACCCCCAATTTTCATCTCAAAATACTAATTAAATGATAAAAACAATGATATATTCATGTATATTAACCAAACCCGAGTTAGAATCTATTACCCCGATGATTTTCTTGAAAAACCCACGAAAAATCGTCATAAACCGAGCTCCCAAAGTCCAAAATGTGAAATAATACCCTAAACCTCGTTTGTATAGTACACCCTCTGACCTACCAATGTGCGGTCCGCACATTTCAAAGTGCGGCCGCACAAAAATTGTGCGGCCGCACTTCATAGCCACTACAAGCTTCAGTAAATTGGCCATAACTTTCTCTACAGATGTCCAGATGATGATTTCTTTATATTTCTGAAAACAAGACAAACGAAGGGCTACAACTTTCGTTTTTGAATCATCTCCAAATTCCTTGTGGATCAAAAGATATAAGCTTCCGAGGCCAGACCAGCGAACCTGCAAAATACCCTGAAGTGCGGCCGCAGACAATGCGGTCCGCACTTTTCCTCTGCCGTCCGCACATTTTTTGTCTGCTACAGCACTTTTTCATCTGTTACGCACAATGTGCCTCAGCACATGGAATTGTGTGGTCCGCACTTCCGACGTTCCGAAACAACATCAGAGTGCCGAAATGCCCGGACTTGCTCAAAACTCACACCGAAACTCACCCGAGGTGTCACGACCCGGATTTCCCACCATCGGGAGTCGTGATGGCTCCTACTGTCGGAGCTAGGCAAGCCAAGTATTAAAACATTTTCTGATAACATCTTAACGATATAAATAAAACGTGTTATTTAAATAAAAGCGGAAGTCTTAAAAACATAGATAACTGAGAACCAAATGCGGAAGTTTAAATACAACTCTACCCAGATCCGGTGTCACTAACTTACGAACTACTAAAGAGTGCTAAAAACAAGTCCGAATAGAAGTACATCAATGTTTGTCTCGATACAAGGAAAACAAACTAATAACATAGAAGGGACTCCGGCCTGCGGACGTCAGCTAGGCTACCTCGAAAGTCCCTGGACTGAAGTCAGCTCCCAATCAAATCCTACTGCTGAGGCCCAAAAGCTGTTCCTGGATCTGTGCAAAAAGATGCACAGAGTGTAGCATCAACACAACCGACCCCATGTGCTGGTAAGTGCCTGGCCTAACCCCGGCGAAGTAGTGACGAGGCTAGACAGGACCTACCAAAAACAACCTGTGCAGATATATATGTATATACAAGTGCAACGAAATAACAGCAGAAAATTCCAATTAAGACGGGGAGGGGACATGCTTAGGGGAAATACAGATGAAAACAACTTATCAGAAGTAAACACGAAACTACATCAGATCTCATAATCTATATAAGTGGTCGGCGTGCCACACGATCCCATTTCATAATATATAAGTGGTCGGCGTGCCACACGATCCCATTTCACAATATATAAGTGGTCGGCGTGCCACACGATCCCATTTTATAATATATAAGTGATCGGCGTGCCACACAATCCCATTTCATAATATATAAGTGGTCGGCGTGCCACACGATCCCATTTCATAATATATAAGTGGTCGGCGTGCCAAGGGAGAATACGACTAAGCAGTTAAATCCCGGCAAGGGAGCAACAACAATAACTTACACGTCCCGGCAAGGGAATAATC